TTTGATTTAGAACTGATATATAAGTTTATATATCGATTGTTGGAATAATTCTACTATGTAACTGCTGTAACTGTACTATTCTACTCGGTAACTAGCTGTGATAAATTGATGAAAAATAAAGGACAGTGTTCAAACAAATTCAAAATTTTTACTATTTCTAGATACTAAATATGCATATATATATATATATATATATATATATATATATATATATGTAAATTATTTTCAATCAACAATTCTACACATTACGAATGCATGTACAAAAATATAGACATCAACAGTTTTCTTATATTCATTCATATATAACAACAGGCATCATCTGAGAAAAATATAATATTCAAACTATTTTAAAGTAGAGAGCAAACGTGTAAATTAAGATATAAACGATAAAGCACATTGTCAATTTTTTGTTAGTTGTAAGTTTTTAAGTTTTGAGCACTGTGGTTCAGTTTACAAATCATGCAATTTTACAAGAGGTAAATTAAATTAATAGTGATTCCACTCTAATGATGAAATCGTTTGATGAATAATATTATCCATGGTTTCAAAATGATATTTTCAAATCAAATAAAAGTTATTATAAAAACTTATTTAGCTTATTTGTAATAAATGTTTTTCAAGAAACAATGAAATTATGACATACTTATGGGGCAATACTGCCTCATAGCATAGCGTTGTCGTGGCAATGCTATCTTATGCTTATTTGCTTGGTAGGAAAAATGTGAAAATGTCTATTTGCTGTGAAATCAGTCGTATACATACATATAAACAAGTAAGGAAGCATATTACGATAACAGAAACTTTGATTATGCAGTTATTATAGCATTCTTCCTTGCTTGTTAACTTCCCGTAGGGTAAGTTATAGTAATGGGCCAAAAATCGAAAATGAAAATTTTTGCATATTTTCACGTTTTAGATAGAGGTTTCTGAACATTTTGGCAACAAGAAAAAATGGATGTGCTTGTGTGAATGTGTGGATACAATTTCTCGTCGACGATTTTGAGCGAATGGATACACCAATTTGAAACATTTGGAACGCAATTGATTCCTACCGATAGGGAGATGTGCTGATTAGTTTCTGACAAAAGCAGGTCCAGCGGCTTCGAAGATATAAAGCAAATTGTGCCAAAAATGTGGGTTTTTAAGAGAACGGATCAACCGATTTAAATAACGCAAAAAACATTCGCAATGATGGGGATAAGTGGTGATTAGATTTTGGCGAAGGCAGGTCGAGCCATTTCGGAGATGCGGAGCTGAATGTGCAAAAAATTGCGGTTTTTGAGAGAACTATAAAAAATAGTTTGTAAACTGTAATATAATTAATAAAATTTAATGTAATAACTATTTAAGAATGAATATATTTACTCAAAATCAATCAAATTTTATTATTAATGCTGTTTTTTAATAAAATATATTTATTATTTCAGAATATGGGATAAATAACTTTGAGTATGGGCTATATATTATATGTTTTGCAACATAGTATAAATACGATTTTCACATATTTGCCCCACATTCAAAATCCGGGCTTGATATGGGTAAAAAAAATATTTAGCCCACGTAAAAAAAATATGTAGTTCAGATTAGTTTCTTTTAGAGTATTGTATAAAGCACCGAACGAAGAATCAAATTATAATAAAGAACTAAATTTTTGGAAAAAAAATGTATTTATTATCGATATTTCGGAACTAAGTACGAAGAATAATTGATCTTGATTAGATGTAAACAAACTTAAACAAACTAAAACAACAAATAAAAAAAGAGTGCGCGTAAGGATCACACGCGATTGAAGTAAAACTTTTAATATTGTATGAGTAGGCAATTAAGATAAAAATAAAAAAAACATATTTGAATTTTAAAAATCATTTATTAATAATCACATAACATCAATAACACAGTTTAAAACAACAGCGATAGATTAATTGCTATCATATTTCATATATGATATAATAGGTTTGTGATAACTGAAATGAGAGACATAAATTTTGCTTTGTAAACTATGTACATTTCTGGAGAAAACTGTATCAATAGTCGTGCCATATCTTGTGGTTGATTCAAATGGAGAATTATTCATTGTTAAATTAAATTTATTATTTAAAAAATCAATTAATGGTTGAGATTCTTCTGAACGAAAATTGACATTGAAATCTCCAGGAATAATTAATGGTATCTCGTTGTGATTAGTATTTAAAAGTTTTGCACCCTCATTAGAAAAATGAAGTAACTGCTGATGAAGAAATTTAATAATATTTGATACGTTTTTATTGGGAGAAATTTAAAGGACGAATATAATTAATGTTTGATTCTGAGTGTTCACACAGCGGACAACTGCAATATCACCTACTTGTGTAATTTCATTAGGAATATCCAGTAATATTGTTGGCGCAAGAAACTGCATAGGAGTGGCATTATGAACAGTATCTGAACATGAATGATAGACATTAGACAGCTACACCACCTGCTCTTGAGTTTGATCGTTTGTCTTGAGTAACGCAGTAATAGTTCTGAATATCAATTCGTTCTTCATTATTAATCCAAGTTTCCGAAAATAACAAAAACGTACAACGTTGTAGCACTTTATCTTGCAGATCAGGCAAATGAGCTCGTAAACTTTGGCAGTTAAAGGAAAACAATGAAATGTCGTTCAAACTTATTATCTCACTCAATTTTTCTTCTTGTGTTATTAATCTACAAGTTGAAAGTCTTTGGAATTCAGTTTTTAAGTCCATTAATCCTGCTGGCCGTTTTCTTCTATGATAAAATTTTTTGTCGTTGTTTTAGAAATGATGAACAATCCATTAATGCTGGTAACTCGTGATAATGCAACATATAGAAGCTGCTGATTATGTGTTTTATTGTATTCATATACAATTTTATCAAAAGTACCACCTTGTGATTTGTGTATTGTGAGTGCACAAGCAGACACTAAAGGAAAATGATTTCTTTTGACAAATATGATTTTATTTCTATTCATTGGAATAGATGAAGATCTCCTGAGAATCGGCACAACTGTCCTACTGATATTAAGAGTTTGAATATGATGTGCAGCTTTCTTTCTAATTTTGTTACCTATCTTACCAGGAAATTCAAACCATAAACGTAGAAGTTCATCATTATCGCCACGTTCTATGTACACTAATTTTCCTACACAACCATTAGCTAAGCCATCACTTACATCAATATTAGTTGTTATTATGTAAAATTTATTCAGTACTAAAATTATTTCATACGGCAAACCCCCGGTATCAATAACCGATTTTTGTGAAACTGCTGACGAATGTATGATTGTTGATCTGTCGCATGGCAACCTACATAAATATCCGTGGCAGTAGATATTATTTTGTCTTCAACGAGATTCAGTATAAATTTATTATATTCCATGACACATTTATTCTCTAAGAAAAGTCTTATTCCATGAGGACATTACATAAAAAACGTGATTCAATTAATGCAAGTTCATATAGGGTTTAGCGCTCGACTTACGCATGACATGACGGGAGTGGATACTCGCGACATCAGCGCTTACGGCGTCGTAGTGTTCAACTTCACGTTGGCGTTTTCGTTGCATTTGTACGGATTTACACCCGTGTAGCCTAAAGAAATTTTTACACCCATATCGCGCCTAAAGAAGTTTTACTTCAAAATAATATAATTTATTAAAATAAATAAAATTATGAAAGAGAGGAAATCATATAAAATATAATAAAAATAATGATAATAATAAATAAATGAATTGTATAACGAAATATTAAAATGGTATCTAGAAATTAAAACAATGGATTTAAAATAAAAACAAAATTATTTATCTTGAACCATGTAAAAAATTATCTTTTTTATTTAAAATCATAACTGCGTGAATTTACCGATAACTAAGCTATAATTGCGTGAATTTTAATGATAACTTCCGCGAAAATAACAAGCGGATTAGTATTTGTCAGTAACAATCAGGAAGAATATTGGGTGAGTATTTTCGTTTTAAAAAAAAAGAGCTTTAAGTATTAACATGACTCATTGTTAAATGTGAAAATTTTTATTATTTATTAGTCATACATAAAATTGTTCATTAAAAAGTAGGTTTAATGGGATATATTTGTTATACAGTCCGGTATCAATATATGATCCATTAATTTGAAATGCTAATTACATCAAATTATTTCAGTGATTTATTTAAAAATGCATGGTACTTTTCGAGTATTTAAGAAAAAAAATTAAGATTATTTTTTTACGCACACGTTACCTATTTGTGTATATAAGTAATAGTTATATTTTAAATAGTTATGAATACTTTGCCTTATCTCTTCTCCAATCTGTTCAGTATTGCGATTAACACATTTAAAACTAATAAAAACTAGTAATTTATATAAACGATCTAGATTTAATATCTAGGTTCACCAACCTCTTACAGCAACATTTGTTTTACGTATACGTGAATTGCAAAAAAATATTTATAGATTGTCAAAAAACTAAGCGACGCAAGACTACAATCTGCGGCTATGAGGTTATCTTCCAATTGGTAACAGTCCCGTTGAATAAAAATACTCTCGGGGGGAGGTAAAGAATGATATTTATAAAATTCGTTGAAACAATATTCAAATATTTCATAATTCTATCGCATTTTATACGGTTGATATCAACCATTGACTATTCGTTATTATTGACTCTGATATCGTTTATCAACATACAACGGCGAAAGGTCGATGCATCTTCTATGTTCGGGGTCAACATTTAATTTCTTACACTAATCGCTGAAATGCATAACTAAGAACCAGTAAAAAGCAGTAAATGATGACAATGATATGGATTAATGAATACAAATATTTATTCATATGTCCGTCGGTCGTTTTCGAAACCATTACGATTAGTTGAAGAAAGTGCGGTTTGAAGTGCGCCCTTCTAAGTGCAACGTTATTAAAAAACAATTGTTATAAATAAGATTTTTATTTCATATCAATTAGCCTGTGTTATTTATGCGGTACAATTAGATCTCACAATTTAGCAAAATGTTTACGAATAAAAATATAGTTAAATATTGTAGTAAATGGAAAGACTTTAAACAGTTATATAGTTCAAAAAGTGTAAACTTACCTGAATCTGCAGAAGTAGTGATAATCGGTAAGTTTATCCATAATTTTATTCAACATGTATTCCTCGATGATCATAAGTTTTTCCTGGTATCCAATTTGCACTAAAATTCGCTATTCAAAAGCTCAAATAAAGTGATTCGGTAGAGAGATCTTTTGGTCTAGAGGCATGAATTTCATGCGATATTTGATATGCTGTAAAGAAAAAGGCAAACAATTTTCAATATATTTTTTGCAATTTATTATTAAATACTGTCTTGAGAATATAAAATATACACAAAAATCAAAAATATTCATATAGTTTCAATTAGAGAAGGTCATAAAGTCGGGAATCTCAAAAACTTAGCATCTGACCATACCCATGATTTTAGCTCTTCAAATAGTCCGAATATATATATATATATATACATATTGATAATTATTCTAGAATAATGTATCTGTTCAATCAACTACGAAAAAGTTAAAATAATTGTTATTCACAAACGCAGCTGTATGAAGAAAAAAAACTTTTGATTGCAATTTTCTTGATATTCTCGAAATTTTAAAAATAGTGAAAATCTGTATTTGTGTAGGATCGTAGTTCATGTTGAAGATAAATATATAAAGAAGATTCTGTAAAAAGTTCAAGTAAATCGCTCCAGTAGAAATAGAGAAAACGTAGGTGTTGTAACGAAAAAGATAGTTTAGAGAAAAGCGCGTGTATTGTTTCGCGTAAGAAGTTTTTTCCATAAAAGTGGAAAAGATATTTAGCAAGAAATAATATTAATTTTATTTTAAATACCCAAATCGATTTTAAATAATTAAAAATAGTTTATTTATTTAGTAATAAAATTTAACTTAAATGTCCTTTTTTACGAAAAAATATAAACCATCTTTATAGATTTATCTTTAGTATGAACTACAATATTAAAAAATATTGATGTAAAAACGTATGAAATAACTATGTACAAACAATTGTACAAATTGTTAACGCATAAATTTAAAATTAAATGAAGTAAAATAAATGGAGTAACATTGAACGATCTTGATTTTGAAAATCTGAAGGAATAACATCAAGAATATTTTGTGTGACTATATTATTTCAAATCTCTAGATTTAACAATGCTAAAAAATTGACCGTGAATTTTTTATTGATGTGTCTAATCAGGTCAGAATTCAATACAATTTCATTTGAATTGAAAACATTATACTTTATATTATTGTTTAACATGAAACTATTATTAAACCGATAAATTATTACACTTTTATGGTTAAAATTCACTTATTTCTTTTTGCATTCTATTGAATTTGTAATAGATACTTTCATAAACTTATTTAAACATAGACATACTTTTTTTTAATATTTTAGTGATAGGACAAAAAGAACTTGTAGTAATTAGTGTTTTGACTTGAAGAAAAATGCATGTACTTTCCATTATGTAAATTATCGACTTAATCAATAAGAATTGAGATTTAGCATTAGATTAGGAACCTTTAAAGTTGACAAAATTTTCAACTATTCTTTTTTAAATAAAGTATACATTCTCCATTAATTCTAAGCACTGCTATTTCTAATTGATATCTAGTTGATCAAACAAACTTATATCAATAATTGTATCAATTAAATTTAATAATATGTAATTGGTCTACTTTTTGTTACAAAAAAAAGATTTTAGTTGAGTATGAACGTTAACGGTGATTAATCACAACCCATTCAAATCGATTGGAAAATAATCCATTCTGTTCCCAAATAAAACGACTATACATTGAAATTAATTTTTACACTTATTCTTAAAGATAATTTTTTTTTGACTATTATACAGCTACCACAATGTGTAATAATATTTCATGATTAAAATATATATACACAAATTTTTTAAGTTTAATTAATATTTCAGGTGGTGGATCCGCCGGGTGCAATACTTTATACGAACTTACAAAAAGAGGTGTAAATGCCCTTCTTTTGGAAAGATCTCAGTTAACTAGTGGCACTACTTGGCACACAGCTGGTCTGGTATGGAGACTTCGGCCAAACGACACCGAAATCCAAATTTTGGCGGACACCAGGCACCGTTTGATGAGTCTAGAAGAGGAAACTGGTCTTAATTCAGGATGGATTAATAACGGAGGAATATTCATCGCACATTCTAAGGTTTTGAGTGACTTCAAGTAATAAATTATATCGAAGCCTTTTGAAATTAATAAAATACAATACATAGTGCTATAAATAATTGAATTGAATTGAATTTCTTATTATAAAACTTGCTCTCAGTAATTGATACTGTAATAAATAATATACTGTCATTTATTAAATACGAATCAAAATGAAGCTAAATCTTTTTTAAATTTGTAAATGGCAAAGTACTTTTTAAATCTTTCCTTGTAGGAACGTTTGGATGAATACCGTCGTTTATCAACAATTGGACGATGCATGAATGTAGAAAGCGAAATTTTGGACCCATCTGAGACCCAAAAGTTATTCCCATTATTAGATCCTGAAAGTTTTTATGGAGCTCTCTATAGTCCTGGAGACGGAGTGGTCGATCCCGCCATGATGTGTGCAGCTTTGACCAGAGCGGCTGGACATAAAGGAGGAAAAGTAAATTATACATATGAATTTTTAATAAATTATTGGTATTCATATGAATATATACATATGTATATCTACATATATATAAAAATAAGTCGGGTTTTCCTTCCTGACGATATAACTCCAGAACGCACAAACAGATTTCGACAATTTTGTATTCGTTGAAAAGGTCTCGGGCTCCGCAACGTTTATAGCTAAGAATGGTGCATTAGTGGTGGCATCGTGCCTTAATGCAAATTGCTGGTACTTCACGCACCGTAATTAAAAATTGTATATATATATATATATATATATATAGTTAATTTGTATGGGTAAAAAAAGTCAAAACATGATTTTCGGATACTGGGTATCAAAATAAGATACTTTGCTACAGAAATCATAACTCTAAAATGAATTCTGAAGTCGCATGCATTGATCCAAAATAAGGGTTAAAATTGGAAAAAGTCCATTTCGGCCGATTTAGACTACCCCAATTGCTTCCAAATGTATGGCCGATCCACCTATGCCCCTGGTTCAACCCCTAGGTACCACCCTGAAAGGTTTTTCAAAATTCAACCCTTATTTTTGGACCAATGCACTGGACATCAGAATTCACTTTAGAGGTATGGTTTCATCAGCAAAGTATTTTATTATGGTCTCAAAAATCTGAAAATTAAGTAACTAAGTGACCTTAAAATCGACCCACCCTAATTATATATATAACATCTATAGAAGTGTAAGAATAATCAAAAACTTTACATTGTAACACCTTTCTCCATCTATTTATTCCAAGTATACTTGTAAGAAAATATTTTTTACTTATTGATTAATTTACTCGAATACTTATTTTCAGTTTATTGAAAATTGTGCCATTACTAAAATTTTGGTGGGCGAAACACTATTGGGTGAAAAAGAAGTTGTAGGCATTGAAACTGAGCATGGAACTATAAAAACTAATTGCGTCATTAACGCTGCAGGTAAGTTGATAAATAAATTTATACAAAAATTATACTAACTATTTGAAACAGCGTTCTATAATCTTCAGCCAGACATGAAAAATACGAAAAAAATATATATAAGAAGTTGAAAATCACTAATTACTAGGCACCTGTGGTCTTTACTACATTAAAGAAAGAGTATCTCTTATGTACCTAGAAAGAGTATTATTTACAAATTCACATATGAACTTTTTTTTTAATTACAATCTGTGATACTTAGAACATTCAGTAATTGTTTTGACTCACATCAACCAAAATTGTAAATATTATTTTGTGATTGTTACGAAAACAAATCACAGGAATATTTTTTTGTTATTTTATTTATCAAATACGCCATTGACGTTAATGAGATACATTAATAACAAAAAGTCTTTTGTAATAGATAACATTATTTCTTAATTTTGTGCATGATTTTATTTTTGTGGATGTTATCAGTACGAATATGAGCAATGTAAATAAACAATCTGTTTACTCAAATACTTTGCGCAATCAAAATAAATCAAAGACGTTTGTTGATGTTTTGCAATATCTACATTTTATCTTAACACCTTTTGTTTTTTCAATATTCATAAATATTGATATAATTATGTAGATTGCTGGGGTAAATCTATATTTCGTATATAATTTGACAATCTGTATTTGAATTTAAGACTGCAGATTTTTTTTATATTTTTTTTAATATTTTCGTTATATTCAATTTCAATTTAGAAATAAATTTCAGCAATGCTCTGTGTAAAAGCTTTTTTACTGGTACTGGCAATCAGTATAAAAACTAAATACCGTTTTTGCAAAGCTAGGCTAGGCTAGTCCTGTCTTCACCGAATAGTAATCAGAACATCTTTCCATTAATAGGAATCAAATGTTTTTTGAATCATTGAAATCGGTTGATCCGTACGCCCGAAATCGTGCACGAAAAATTGTATCCAAACATACATACACACTCACACTCACCAAAATGTTCAGAAACCTTTGAAAGATATGCAAAAAAATTTATTTTCGATTTTATTGCGATTACTATATCTTACCCTAGGAAAAGTTAAATATATTGCCGTATGTTTTTAGGAGTATGGAGTGGACATCTATTAGAAGATTTAGGTTTATCCTTGCCTCTGATTCCTATGAAGCACGCTTATATCGTTTCGGAACCTATGGGTGCGCAAGGATTACCAAATATAAGAGATCATGATGCGTCAGTTTACTTCCGGATTCAAGGAGAGAGCATTTGTATGGGAGGATATGAAACCGATCCTATACTTCTTGGAAAGGTAATATTCATATTATATATATATAATAATAATAATAATAATAATAATAATAATAATAATAATAATAATAATAATAATACATAATAATAGTAATGATAATCTCCAGTGTCTTCAAGTGCCTCGTTGACGAGTCATTCTCCGTACAGGTTGAATAGGATCGATGACATGCAGCAACCTTGTCCCCTAATTCACTGGGACTTTCACTTTTTCTCCCATGTACAGATTCTGGATCACCCTGCAATCTCTTCAATCGACCTTATTAGACTTCATAATTCTCATAAGCTTACTCCATTTCGCTCTGTCAAAAGCTTTCTGCCAATCTATAAAACAAAACATATGTCCTCGTTAACACCGGGACATCTATCCGCACTATCCTCAATATTCTAACAGCGTCCCTGATGCCTCATTCTTATTTGAAACCAAACTGATTTTCGCTTATGTGCTGCTCGATCTTATTATCTAATCATTTCGTAAGGATTTTGTCCAGAGCTTTTCATACGTTTTTTATTGTGTTTTCAGAACCTTTCAACTGATCTTCGCTCATGTGCTGCTCGATCTTATTATCTAAACGTCTCGTAAGGATTTTATCGAGAATCTTTCTTGTGTGCGAAGTCAAACTGATCGTCCTGTGGCCGCTGCACTTTTTTGCTTTGTGCTTTTTCTGAAAATTTTCATCATGACACCCAAAAGGTCCTTTGGTCATCGTCCGTTCGGTATATTTAGTTCCACAATTTGGTCAGTTTCCTTAATCCGTTGTTGCCCAGCTCTTTCAGCAAGTCCGCCGGTATGTCCTCATCTTCAGTTACTTTCTTTCTTCTGATATCATTTATTGCTCACTCTCGACTTCGCTTTTCAATATGCTTATATATATATATATATATATATATATATATATATATATATGTATACAATCATAAACTCAAACTATCAAAAATAATCTATCACCAATTTAGGTGATATGCAGAGCGTATGCTCGCAATTAACCTTGTTCGATAACTACATAGGCTACATTTTCTTTGATTGCTACTTACTTTCTTTCAGGTGCCACCAGACTTTTCATTTGGATTATACGAACTGGATTGGTCTGTTTTTGAAGCACACACTTCTTGGGCCGGCAAGATTTGCCCCGCTTTCGACCAAGCTGGGATAAAGTCAACAGTTTGTGGACCAGAATCTTTCACACCGGATCATAAACCCATTATGGGGCCCGATCCTAGATTACATGGTAAGTTTAACTTAATATCACATCTTTATGTTTATACTATGTTCAGCTATAATCATATAATGGCTGTTTTTGAAACAAGTCCCAAATAATTTTGCATTCAACAAATTTAGCATGAAAAAAACATGAATTTGCACCTTCCACTGATAAGTGTTTCAGAAAAAGCCGGTATATCTCGTCAAGAACTTCGTTTGATGCGTCAGAACATTTTAACAAAAAATTTAAGTTGTTTATTAAATTTATTTTCAAACCTTAGTGTGTGTAGATTAATTTTGGCTTATATATCCATGTATCTTATTGCTGTGTTAGTGATAAGCTTTGATATCAAACTTATAAAAACTTATTAAATTTTGTTAATGAAAAATATAAATATTATTTAGATTGTGTAAATTATAAATATTTTACATTCAAATTTATAAAAGGTATGAAAAATATCTTATAAAAATTGTTTAAGATCCGAATTCTATGAATGTAAAAAATAATAATATTTTACTTTTGATAGGTTTATTTCATAACTGTGGATATAATTCCGCCGGCATGATGTTGGGAGCAGGCTGCGCCAAACAAATGGCGAAATGGATAATAAATGGAAGGTATATTATCAACTTACAACAAATAAATTATGCTGTATAAAAAAAAACTTTTATAGAATGCATATTTCTTCTTTTTAAGGCCAGATTTCGACATGTTTGCTTACGACATACGACGATTTTCACCCAAACAGATGAATGATACGAAATGGGCCACTGAGAAAAGTCACGAAAGCTATGTGAAAAATTACAGCATAGTTTTCCCACATGACGAATCTTTAGCTGGGCGTAATTTACATCTAGACCCACTACATGATGTACGTATCAAATACAATATCTTTGTAATATACACATTAATATTTAAATTAAATTATTGCACATATTTTTATTTATATAAGTACCATTATATGTATATATATATATATATATATATATATATAATGTTTACCATTTCAAAATGCATTTGTATATTTATTTTAAAATATTTATCTCAGGAAATGTTGGCATATCACGCAGTTATGGAAGAGAGACATGGTTGGGAACGTCCAGGTTACTTTCTAGAAGACAAAGTCAAATCACCAGATGCTAAAACAGCAGCACCTGTGACAACATATGACTGGTATGGCAGTTACGGCCACCAAAAATCACCAGACCAGAGATATGTAGAGAAATTAAAAGGAGAATATCGGTTTGGATTTCCCGAATGCCATGATATCGTAAGTCTTTGACAAATATTTTTTATGAAACTTGAATTCTATTTACTTATATCAATATTTTGATTATGTTAATAGATTGCTTCCGAAGCAATGGCGTGTCGAAAGCAGGCAGCTTTGTTCAATATGAGCTATTTTTGCAAACTATATTTAACAGGACCTGATGCCCAGCAAGCCAGTGACTACATATTTACTGCAAACACAAACAAACCTACAAACAAGTCAGTGTTGCTAATTATTAAAATTATTTAAGGCGAAAGATTTCTTTACACTTGCTATAGTTTTACATATAAATTAAATAAAAAGTATTAAACATTTAGAATTATCATTATAAGTTATCTCGATAACGATATTATTCAACCAATCACAATCAATCAATTATTTTTATTTTTTAATTTGCAAATTTATCGCATAATATTTATTTTTCAAATAACTATCAGATAACTTTTTAGGAGTTAAGTAACTGCATCTAGCTTTTAGTTTCAGTTCTTTTCCTTGTCCAAATGTTTGGACATTTTTTGTATATTCATAGAAGATATAAATTTTATGAAATATGTAATCCTACAATTTCAGAACGGTATACACATGTGCATTAAATCAGAATGGTGGCGTAGAAGCAGATGTAACTATATCGGCCATAGATCCTGGAGTCGGAAATATCACAGATCCAATATTCAAGGTAAGAAATAGAACAAAATAAAAGGGTTGGCTTGTTTAATTTACCCAAGAAACTAATAAACTTCATGTTCAACCAATTTCCAACCAGGGTCGAGGATTCTATATAGTTGCTGGAGGCGCATCGGCTTATCACACTTATGTTCACATAAAGTCAATTCTAAGAGAAAAAAATTTCAAGTGCCACATTAGAGATGTCACTGATCAAATGGGAGTTTTATCGATACAAGGGCCTAATAGGTATATAATTTAACAAAATTAATAACTTAATCATATTTTGGATATCAGAATAGCTCAATAACCTTAAATCATAACTTAAGAACCATAAATAACTGTACATTAAAATATTATAGCCGTGAAATACTAAAACAGATGACAAATGCAAACCTGAGTGATGAGGCGCTTCCACCAAATTCAACAACCATGCTCACGATTAAGGATGGATTATGTAAGTTTTAAAAATCAAAGATCACAATTGATCTCTTAACTGTGATTGATTTAAAATTATTGCATAATTAACCGCTATTAATCTCAAAACATCTCAAAATTAACCGCTATTAATCTCAAAATATCACATTATATGCAAATCTAAAACTATTATTATTATATATGCAATTATTATTACATACTAGATGACCCGACAGACATTGTCATGTACTTATTTTTAGAATTCAGAAGTTCCAATTTTTTTTTAATAACCTATACTGATATTTACCAATTAGGTAAAAATTATTATGATTTTTTTCACTACAGTCTATACCGAAATGTATATACATCCACACATATGGATCTTAAATGTACAACTACTTTAAATAAAATTATGAGTATTTGCTTTTTTGAAAAACATTATAAAACATTGTTTCTTATAATTAGTTCTTTTATCAATATCCGACGTTATTTTGAAAAAAAAAATGAATTACACCTCTGAGAGGGATGTCATCCGCCCGGGAAATGGCAAAGGAGTCTAAATTATTTTCACTTTTGAACTTGAGAATAAGAATCAAAGAATAAGAATCAAAATTTCATACGAATTGGAGCACAGTAAAAAAAATTCAGACCCAAAACGCTCCATTAACTTGATTAAATATTCCGTATCAGATGGCAAAAATATGAAATTACTAACGTTTGTATGTGAAAAAGAAGAGAGCTGTTTTAGGGTTTTCCCGGCAATTATTCGATTTTTTCTCGTCGTAAGTTTTTCTCGTCCTTGGATTTCAACGAACATTTTAAAAAAAGAATTGCCCAAATTAGTCCAGGCGTTGATGAGGTATGCGCTTACCAACACATTTTGCGATTCATTTTTATATTCTAGATTTAGTATTTAATATATAATTATTCAGAATAAATGCTTTTGTTGAATTATTAAATTCTGTCTTTCAAGAACCCATTATGAATACAATACACTCGAGATATTGACCTTTTTATAGGACTTTTAATATCGTTTTTGTGCACAATAAATATTTGAAAAACCGTCCAAACACTTTAAAATTGAATTTCAAAGATCTACTGATCTACTGAATCATCCAATATTATTATTATGAATGTTCATTTTTAGCTAAATCTTATGTATGTCGTGCACTTCGTGTAAGTTTTGTGGGAGAGCTAGGCTATGAATTGCATATGCGGAATGAAGACTGCGTGCCAATTTTTCGAGCTTTGATGGATGTTGGAAAATCTAAGGGACTTAGAAATGCCGGTTACAGAGCCTTATACTCATTAAGTAGTGAAAAGGGTAAATATATAAGATATATTATTCTATTGAATTTAGACATTTCCACAACTCATAGCAGTTGTAATATTATTCAGGTACACGTACCTCTAAACATAAGAATATATTTATAATTGCTTAAGTGCAGAATGAACGACAACTAACCAGCAGCCAATATTTAATCATCCGTTCATCCACTACTATTTATTCATACTTTTTGGTCTGTTATTAGGGTACCATTTATGGCATTCCGACCTGCGGCCTGATGATACGCCAATAGAAGCAGGATTGGCATTTACATGCCGAAAGACTGGAGACTACATAGGTAAAGCAGCTATTGACGAACAACGCAAAAATGGCATCAGGCGAAAATTGGCTTTTTTCACTATGGATGCTCAAGTTAGTAAATTGTCTCAAAAATGCACAAACTTCAAAAATTTACAAAATAATTATGTAAAACTTCTAATCAAAATTTTACAAAATGGGCTAATTAACATACTTTTTGAACCATGTTTAGTTGAGGATGGGTTTTTAACCCCTTTCGGTTTTTAACCCCTCATACACCGAAGAATAAAAAAATAAGTATATCAGAAAGGAATAAGTAATAATTTTATATATAAAAGTAAGATTACCTTGTGGAGTCCAACCTTACAGCTACTGGTGGTTGGAAAATAACTATTTGATCGCAATGAGAATTGACGAACTGCTTATTTATATATAAATAACACAACACTGTACAGAAACTGACTCGACTTATTACACAATAGAAACTGAAACTGAAACGAAATTGTGAGAAAAGACTTAAAAAAAAAGGAATCGCCATAGAATAAGCCCTAGTAGACAATTTAATAATAAATGAAACTAGTGCTGTATGGCATCGTGCCTTAAGGCAAATTTCTGGAACTTTCCGCACCAAAAATTATTTTTTGATTAAATAAAGATTAAAATTTGTTTCAAACTTTGAAGAAATTAGATTTTTGAAAAATTTTAAATTTTTGAAAACAAAGACTTTTTTGGCAAAAAGACTTTAAAGAAAATTCTATTTTTATTTTGAAATATTTTGGAAATTTTGAACTTTTTATCAAAGCAATCGTTCTGCTTTATCTGCATAGAGACGAAATATGGAAGCGCGTAAGCGCCACGTCGCCGTCTAATGAACAAACAATGTCACGGAACTCAAAGAAATGTTAACAAAATTGATACATATTATTAAATAAATAAATATCTGATAATTTGATGAGCATATGTCTAATGATCATTTTTGACCGTCAATGGCATTTTTAGATCTATCTAGTCTAGATCTCCGAAGCCGCTAGACCTGCCTTCCTAAAAATTCGATCAGTTTTTCATCTTGTCAATACAAGTAAAATGTTTTTTCAATTATTAAAATCGGACGCTCCGTTTATTTAAAAACTTAGTTACCGTTTTTGGTACTTTTTGCCCTCGTTTTTTTCGGAACGACTAGACCTGCTTTTGCCAAAAACTAATCAGCACGTCTCCTTATCAATACGAATCGAATGTTCTTCTAATTATTCAAATTGGTTGATCGGTGTTCCCGAAATCGTCGACGAAAATTTGTATCCGCACGCACACATACATCCATTTTTTCTAAGGTATGCCAAAATTTTCAGAAACCTTTGAAACGTTAAATTATAAAAATATTCATTTTCGATTTTTGTGCGAATACTATAACTTACCCAACGGGTAGTTAATAAGAAAATAGTGTAGTTACTCGAATAATTACCAATCAATTGATTGATTGACAAATTTTGCAAATTCTTACTATTTAAAGCGAGTACTTACAAAGTTTTATTGATTGGATTTTGATTTTTTGAAATCGGTTCAGATATTTGCTTAGGCAAGTTAAACAATCAATTTACAATATATTAATAATTTTAGGTGCCAATATGGGGCTTAGAAGGCGTTTGGCGAAACGGTGAAATCGTGGGTCATCTTCGACGCGGCGAGTATGGTTACACGTTACGCAAACCAATTGGCCAAGCTTACATTTCTCGTCCTGATGGAGGCGTTATTGATGCAGATTTTCTCAAAACTGGAAAATATCAAATAGAGGTAATGGGAAAACTATATGATGCTAATTGTCATTTAAGAAGCCCGTTCGATCCAAAAGGTAAAAGGGTCAATGGCGATTACAGTGATCAACATAATGTTGAAGAAATTTAAACAAAGGTGACGTAATGAGAACAAATTATAATTATCAGCAATGGATAGCTTTAAGTTACTTATAAAATTATTATTCTTAATTCTTTACTTTCGAGTTTGATGATATTTGGAGTTACAAAATTCAATAGCATTTTTAAAGGTAACATAATTTAAAAAGACTACTAATAATTTATTATATTATTATTAATTAATAGTTTACCAATTAATATTTTATCTATTTCTCAGTCCAGTTTTTAATGCTTCTTTCATTAAAATGATAAGTTTGAAGCTTTCTTTAATAAGAAATTTATTAAATTAAATTCAAACAAATTTAAATTTTATATCCTGTTAGAGAACACTGTCAAGATATTACTAGTTCATAAATATTCATATGTTAAGTTATATGAGGTAAGAAAATGCAATCACAAATTATATTTAAGTTAAGCTAAATAACTATTTTTGTACTTATATTAAGTGCTTAAGTATTAAGTGTATTTTAGATGTATATATACAGTTGGCCACTTCACATTTATTACGAGCTTATGATTTTTATTAATAAAAAAGTTTCTTTAATAATATATTTCTTCTTATAAAATTACTTACCATTAAAAAATTCTTATGAAATAGTATAATATGCAAATTATTATTTTATATGATAATTACCAAAATCTATTTTGCTAAAGGATTTGCGTGTATTGTTATACTTGAAATTCTAACTTCTGTTGTTGGTTTATAGTTTTTGGGATTGACAGGAATTTTTTCTAATTCATCTAAAGTATCAAAACCGTCTATCACTCTGAAAAAATATAAAACCAATATAGTTTAATAAAATTTTATGGTTGTATATAATATTACACACAAGTAATTTGGGGAAACTTACTTAGCAAAAACTGTATATTTTAAATCTAAGCTGGGTTGCTCAGAATAAGTTATGAAAAACTGGCTACTGTTAGTATTTGGTCCATTATTCGCCATTGATATCATGCCTCTCTCATTATGCTAAAAATAAAATATGTTTATTCATGAGTTAGAAGAGAATATTATGTAAAACAATCTTTTTTCTAACCTTCAGATTTTCTTTAAATTCATCTTTGAATTTTTTATTCCAAATGCTGGTACCGCCTTTACCAGTACCAGTAGGATCACCGGTTTGTACTATGAAACCTTTTATATTTCGATGAAATAAACAACCATTGTAATAATCACTAGCACATAATGCTAAAAAGTTTTCAGCAGCTAACGGACAATCTTCACAAAACACTTCTACTTTCATATCACCAACATCTGTATGAATTGTCACTGACTAAAAAAAAATTGAAAAGGGTACTTGTTTAACACTTGTCTATTCATATAGATAAGAGTAATAAGAAAAAATAGTTGTTTTATAAATATTGCAAGTTAAATTAAAGTTGCAATTTACTGAAGAAGCACAGCAGATATGGATAATAGATAATGAAAAAGATATTCAATGTAAAAAATCAGCAATCAAACAGTTCTGAATATTCATGTTAGAAATCGCATAAAAGTGGATTGCAGTTATGTTTCTGTCTGTTGTAATAAAATTTAAAGGTGACAGTTGAACTGTTTTTTTTATTACATTCACATTTAATTTTATAACATTTTGATGAACTACATACAGAAAATATAATTTTATATTAAATTTAATTTATATACAAAAATGTTGCTATTAAATATATCAGATGAAGCTAAAGTTATTGTAAGTAATATTATTACATTATATTATATTTAAGTAATGATTTATATTTAAAATAACTCACCATTTTAGGATATAAAATTATCTGTTGGTTTATAATATCTCAGTTGTATAACTAAACAAAACCGTCGAAATATATTAAATGATAGTGTAAAATATCTTTATGTTGAAGACAAAAATTTTAAAATGTAAGGTTAATTTTTATCTCAAATGTCAAAAGAAAATTTTTCTTTTGCGCGTTGTGGCTAAACTGCACGTGGTAACAATGTGACATAAACGCACGTTTTCTTTAAGGTGGAAATATATTAAATTTAAGGTTAAGTTTAGCATTTATATTTTATTAATAAAGTAAACTTTATTTAAATTTCTAAATTATGCAACTCAAAATGAATAAAACTAATTTTAATATAAATAAAATTAAACAAATTTTGCTTGATGAGAACTCATTTATCACAAATGTATTTTCTAAAGTTGATCTTCCAAGTCAAAACAGAGGTATGTAAAGAGACCACCATTTATAAGAGGTAATACAATTAAATAATTAATATAACCATGTTTATTTAGATGATGATGAAATTCCCGCTGAATCAAAAGTCGGAAAAAATAAACTTTTAAAAGCCACATCTTCAAAAGGACTTAAAGCATCTCGAGCAAAAAGTTTGGAGGAGCTGCAAGCACGTTTAGAAAGTTTGAAAAAAAAGAAAACATTCACATATAAAGATAAATTATCCAAAAAGGCGTTACGAACACATATAAAGAAAAAAATTAAAAAAGGAGAAAGATTGAACACTAAAACAGTAAAGGTACCTAAAGCAGGAGAAAGTGAAGTTAAATCAGAAGAAAATGATGACACTGAGAAGAATATTAAGCCATCGAAACCTGTATTCAATAGTCAAGGCAAAATGGTCTTTTCAAAATTTGACTTTTCGGATGCAAATAATAAGAAATTCAGTAAGTATTTAAAAACAACACTAATTTTAACTGAGTAAAATTGTCTTCAAATTGTAATACTGTTCATACAGTAATAATGTTCATTCATACTTCTATGACCAGTTTTTGTCATAAATTAAGAATTATTTATGAAATTTTACTATATTTGTGTATTTCTAATTTGACTGTGATCATTTTAGAAAAGAAAGCTGACAATGACCCGCAGAAGATACTTGAAAAATTAAATAAAAATAAAGAAAAACTAGAAGAATTGAAGTCTCAGGGAGATGTTGAAAAAGCGCAAGAATTAAAAGAAAAATTAGCCTGGAAAGCTGCATTAGCTAAAGCAGATGGACAAAAAGTAAGGGACGACCCTGACTTATTGAAAAAATCAGTTAAAAAACAAGAACAAATTAAAAGATCCAGTGCCAAAAAATGGCAAGCTAGGAAAGAAGGAGTTAAAAAGGCGCAGGAAGAGAGACAGAAGAAACGAGAAGCAAATATAAATAAAAGAAAAGATGATAAGAAAAATAAAAAGTTAAAAAAGGCAGTTAAAAGAGGCAGAGTAATACCAGGTTTTTAATTCTTAGATATTTGTGTAATTAGGTTTAAATAAAATTCTTATAAAAATCATCATGAGCTCACACTGAATATATTTGTATATATATATATATATATATATATATATATATATATGGATTTTTATTTCACATTCTTATTTGAAATTTGCCACCTTTTGTTACATATTTGACCCCTTTAAATGGTTTATACTTTTCCCCATACATGTCCAACCTATTAACTTTAAGACCAGATACAGCGAGCTGACTAATAGTAAAATGAACATTTATGGAAGGATTTGATTCCACTGTACTGGCACCACTTGTAACTGATACCTATAACGAATTTTTATGGTAATCAATGTAGTTACTAAAATGTAAATTCAAATTGTTTAATAAAATATAAATTAAAATTTAGCTTACTGATCCTCTGATATTTGGTAGTTTTGTTACATCAATACGACCAACTTCCCAATGTAATATTTTAGTTACAGGGTCAAATGAGTATTTTCCTTGATTTGCTACCAATGAGCAATTCAAAACGTATTTTGGTAAACAAACTTCTAAACGTACACCTAAATTCGGAATTTAGAATGTTTTAGGTAAAAAAGAAAAAATTCAATTACTGATGTCAAAATTGGATAAGAAAATTTACCTTCCACAGTTCTACCTAACGTTTGCTTTGGACCAACTGTAATATCTAAACGACCTTGCTCATTGGGTTTAAAGGTGAGGTGGTGTCTTACATATATTGGAATAGCTACAACACTTTGCATGCCTATATGATATGATAATAATCTAAAGTTACCATCTGGTGGAATGAATGACAAAATTCTTTCACTCTGAAAAAAATTAAGTATACTTAAATAAGACATTATACCAAAAATATTATTTGTTTTACTAATGCATAGAATGTTTATCTAATTCTTGAAAGTGAAATAAGATTGTATCCAAAATAAACAAACCTCCCATCTCTTGAATCTAACACAAGGATGGAATGACACATCATCAAACAATCTTGGATTCATGAATGAAAGTGTTAAATCTGGCATACCGCTCAGCTTAATGCAACAATCGATCTATAAATATGTAACATAGTATAAAAACAAAGAATTTATTTATTTATATAAGCATAACTTTCATACATATCCTTGAATTTCTGCAAATACTGTAGCACCCGATTTATCAATTATAGCATCAACTTCCTCTACAACATCAAAATATGCCTCATTATTGGTATATTTAACACCTGTTCGTCGCCAGGGAACATTTGAAAGCTGACCACTTGGAAGTGTGCCGCTAACACTTGAATAAAAATTATTTTATGCCAACTTGGTCAAGATCAATCAATCTTTTCGTATAACAAGGTACTTACTTTGATTTCCCAGTAACCGTATTTGCAATTGTTCGTAATATGTTTGGAGGTTTTATAAGTTCTTTTAATATGTTACTTTCTGTTGCTAATGGAAAGCCATTGTCTAACATTTCATCAAGCAATTCATAAACAACAACATAGTTTTCTTTTATTATGGTCTCTGTGCATTCAGAAAAATAATCCACAAATGTATCAATTACTCTGTGTAAAAACTCTATTACAAATAAAGGCGCCACTTCTTGTTTGCAAGCTGCTACGAGGCTTATTCCATCACGTTGAACAGATACTAAATAATGATGTGGTGTGGGAATAACAGGCGGTACATCCTACAGTGATTAATTTATCATTAATATTTAATTACTCTTTGTTTGAATACAAATCAAAATTAGATTGAATAAAATCTTCAGTTTTCACATTTAGCCTTTTTAATTTAAATGTATTTTTTTATCTATCGTGTTTGATATTGAAAAGCTATGAACATAAAATATACCTCTAACATATAAATGTTGAATGTTGAAACATTTAAACATTTTTTTTATAAAGCTGATGATATTGAACTAATGTACAAAGCATTGCTACGATAATAGAAAAAGGTTTACTATTATTGAATGATCATTTATATAAATAATTTTTATTCATTGACATACGTTTGGAGTTGCCCTTTGTGCATCAAGAAAATAATCGCAAACTGAACGTGAAACAACACTTCTCCAATGTTTCTCCAGGAAGACATCACTAAAATTTTGGCACAATTAAATAACTTTTAGACACAAATAAAAATATCAGAATTAAAAATTACCCAGAGTTATTTATTATAAACAAGCTATGTATCATTATATCACAAAGTACAAACACAGTTAAGTGTTTTTCTGTGAAGATGTTTATGATATTTTTCTTTTATTGTTATGCTGAAATATTTGTTAATGATAATTTATCATATTAATTTAAATAAAAATAATAATGTTTGGCATGACATGTTTCAACCACGTTTGCTAAAACTTTCATTTGACAGCTAAAAATGATAGCTGGTGACAGTTGTCACCTGTCATTGTCAAGAATCAATAAATAATGAATTAGAAACAAAAGTCAAAACGTAGTCATAGTCCAATATATTAATATATTTTATACTTTCATGTCGTGGCTATTATATTTATTAGAAAATTGTGTACTTTTACTAACTTTTATAGGGAACGGGCAAGCTCATAAAAATGTCAGTGAAAACGCCATGACTTCTCGGGGTGGCGAAAAAGTGCAAACAAGGATTCCAAACAAGATGGCGTTTGACAGGTTTTATTTCGTATTTTGACAGGTTTTATTCAAACTTATGTGCTTGTTAAAGATGGTTATTGCTTCTTATAATCGCAATTTTTATTTATTTTTAATAATAATGCGGCATATCTGAGTCACTAATCATGTGCGTATATTAAGTGAAGAAAGCGCATGAATAAGAAAGTGAATTTTGTTATAATTAACGTTAGAAGAAATAAATTGCTTTGTTGGATAGATTCATTGAGGTATGTACTCATAATTAAAATGTATTTGCTATTGACCACCATATTAAAACAAACATGTGTTGCTTAAAGGTATGATAAAATTTTCAGACAAGGCCATAAGATATTTTATGATTTGCATGTTGTGTTATCAGCTGAACAAAGTTTAGATCTTTCTATTAGTACTTTGTTGCAGAATGAATCTCATATTTGATAGGATGTCAGGACTTACAGGATTTCTACACTGCAATTTGATTTGATTTAATTGTTTTGTATTATTGCATTACTGCAGGTATGTTTTGTTTTATTGCATAAAAAGATATTACTTTTAAAAGTTTTAGGAAGCTATTGTATCAGTATATGCACGGTTGAAGAATTTCTCCAAAATTTTATACCGATGAGCAGTATTTGCTAATATTGATAGAAGAGGGTCTCCTCCATAGATTGGTAATTATTTGTGTGAATTTAATATTACATACCTGTTAAAATTTTATACTTTAAATTATATGCTCTCAATGTTTTTTCTTTCAGATTAATTTAGGTACATATAAGAAGTATTCATCTTTGATTTCCAAAAGCTTTCAATTTATGTATTACATATAACATTTATGTACAGTTAATATTATTATACAAGCTAACAGTCATGATACATATATATTTAATCTAATATAAATTAACATTTCTTTCATTTACCATCCCCATCTTATCCAATAATGAAAGTTTGAAGATTCACCAAAATAGGACATAAAAAAACAATATTTTCACCAGAAAATTGATAGTCCTTTGGTATATTACATAGAAGTTTTAAAATTTTCATTCTGTGTATGACTCATTCTACATGTATACGCACACTAGCTTCAAAGTGAGTTTAATTAATATCTCCTGGTGAAAGTAATCCGTTTTAAATTTAATTTTAAACAATAGCATATGCACAAGTACTGCTATATTTATTAATTTGTCTAACTCAGTCCATATTGATGAAAATCCTGACTATAAAGTACAATTAAAAACTTTGTCTTTTTTACTCATGAATTTACCTTTGTCAGTTAATACAGCACATCCAGATTTTACTTTTTTTTATTACGCCCGAGAGTACATTAATTTGGGTTGGAGTGATTCTGCCTAAGCCCACATTATTAACAAATGAAATAAAGCCATCTGGAGTGCAAATAAATAAGAACCTACTTTCAAATACCCTGGAAACTACCAACAATGAATCTGAAAAGTAAAACCTAAAGCAATATAACTAATTTCTAACTTTCATAATTAGTGTTTTCTAAGAATCAAACTCACAAATGGATTTTTAATAATGTTTTTATGCATGTAAATATGATCATTTAAGCAAATATTGATTTAATTTACTAAAGCCTCTTCAAACTTTGAACTTTCAATATTTTTCTGATTGAATATCCTTCCTGAATGTAAATAGTATGCATATTGGTAGTAGCAAACAAAATTTATATTTTGAATTTCATTATTCTTACCTCTGTTATTGTAAAATCATAAAAAATAAATGATGAAAATATGTAAGAAATATGAATTATTAAATGTTTAACCTAAAAATGCACGTTTTACGTCAAAACAAATATTAGTTGACAGCAAATTCAACCCATAAATGTGTCATCCGCCATATTTGTTGGAATCCAAGTTGCACTTAAAATCCGCTAGAGGAGAGCTTGCCCGTTCCCTATTATCAAGATTTTATCTATGATATGAACCATCAATGAACTAATACTACTAAAGAACGCTAGGGATCCTCACATGATCCTCACATCGTTTTTAAGAAATATTGAATAAATGATGTCGGTTCATCATACTTAAATTTCTCATTTTCAAAGTCATTGGCCAGGTTCTCTACAGGTCGCTGCCAAAAACACAATTTACTGATTTGTCAATAAGATTTAAATATGAACTAGCAGGGTGCATGGCAAATTGCTGGAACCACTCTTACCGTGATAAAAAAATCTTGGTACGGAACCCACACAAAAAATTTACACATTATATACATCTATAAAATATCTAATAATTCTATGTACATATATCCAATAAACATTTTTTTAATTTATTTTTATTGAGAGTCCATAATAGCTGGACCTGCCTTCTTAAAAATTTAATCAGTTCTTCATCTTGTCAACACAAGTAAAATGCTTTTTGAATTATTAAATTATATTTAAAATTGGACGTTCCGTTCTCCTAAAAACTGATTTGCCGTTTTTGGCACTTTTTTCCCCACATTTTCAGAATGGCTAGGCTTGCCTTCGCCAAAAACTAATCAGCAAGTCTCCTTATCAATATGAATCGAATGTTTTTTGAATTATTCAAATCAGTCGATCAGTGTTCCGAAAATCGTAGACAAAAATTTAATTCTGTCGAAATTTTCACTTGACACTGGGTTTTTTCCATTAATCTTCAATATTTAGATTATTTAAATTATATGTATTCAACTATAAGACACCTTTGAGCTATGTCTGCCACTTATTTTCAACTATACTTTTATTTTTCTATGCAAATATTTTATACCAAATATAAGTAATACCATAATAGATTTAACTAATACCATCAGTCAGCACCTTGAGGAAAATATGCACACAGTTGCAATTTTTATTGATTTACAAAAAGCTTTCGATACAGTAGATCATGGCATATTACTTAATAAACTAATAGATTTAGGTGTAGAGGGTTTGTCTTACAGCATTATCAAAGATTTCCTCATGAAAAGAGTGGTAAGGACGAAGGTGGGAAATTTCACAAGTGGAGGATGTAACATAACCTGTGGAGTTCCACAAGGTTCTGTATTAGGACCTTTATTGTATCTATTATACACCAATAACCTTAAAGACGCAAAATTAAAGGGAAGATACATATTATATGCAGACGATACAGCGATAGTATATGCGGATAAGGATAAAAAAAGACTCGAAGATATTATAAACACGGACATGAAAATATACACCGAGTGGCTAACTGAAAATAAACTAACAATTAACATAGATAAAACAAAATACATATATTTCAAACATAGAAAAAATACTGAGAACACTAAACTAAAAATTGAAGTAAATAATAGAGCAATAGAGGAAGTGGAAAGCATAAAATACTTAGGACTGATAATAAATGAAAAACTGACATGGACAGACCATATAAACAAAATAAAAAGAAAGATAGGAACATTAACAGGGGCATTGAAAAGGATCCACTCTTTCGGCAAAAAAAATAAAATACTAATTCTTAAAACGCAAATAATACCTATAATTTTATATGGCATAACAACATGGAGCCAAACAACTAAAGCAAACCTAAATGACATACAGAGAATAATGAATAAAGCCATAAAAATAGCATATAATTTACCACATCTAACACCCACCAAATACTTGCAGAGAGAAACAAATAATCATTCACTAAATAACATAATTAAAATAGAGAAATGCAAACTAATACACAAAATGAAATTTAACCGAATTAAAACAAGTGCAACAATAGACACAAATCAAGATATACATGAACACTACACGAGACAACACAACAATTTTCACATTGAACGCAATAGAAAAAAATTTGAGAGAAAATGTCATATGGAGTGCTACCAAAATATATAACGAATTGCCAGACTATATTAAGATGACCAATGATAATGATAATTTTAGAAGAAAAATAAAGAAGTACTATATGGAAATTGAAGAAAAAGAAGACTGAAGAGTTATATATAGATATTGTATTAATGAAATAGATATTATAGTCAAATGAAATGTAAATATTATATGAAAACTGTTTTTCATAATCTCTCATACCAGGCACCTCTGTCTGACTGAGATATGAAAATAATGTATATATGTAAATAAATAAATAAATTACAAAAAAAAAAAAAAAAAAAAAAAAAAAAAAGTAACCAAATAACACATTTTAATGACAGCGGAAAGGAATGCTAAAATGCAGGTAATATAAAAAATGATCTGATTTAACTGAATATATTATAACATTTTATCATCGAAAAATTAAGTTTTTACAATTGTCCTGCAACGGTAAGCCACAATGGATACAAAATATTATACAAACTTACAAAACTAAATGTAGAGTGCTAGATAATGTGGATACCAGATATTACCCATATATTTTCATTCAAACACCAAATTTTACCACCACAAACAATAATTCACTATGTAATTAATAAATAATAAGTAAAAAATGAATTATATTTTTATGGCCTATTGTTATCTATGCAAGGTCTTATTTACATTTAAGTACAAATAATATTGTGTTGTTAAGAAATATGAAATTGTCTTGTACTTTCAGATGTTAAAATATTTCAATATTAAAAATATTTAGTATCAAATATCAAATAAGATAACTGTAAAATTGATAAATTTATGTACAAAGTTGCTCTACTTAAATTATTACATGTGGAAACTATTTCATTTAAGATTAAAAAGTTAAATGATTGATAAGCGATTCCTAAAATAAATCATTAAAATATTACGTCTTTTTGAAATTTCTGCCCAATCTACTTTTCATACGAAGTTTTCTGTTTGTGGCAGAACTGGATTTGATTTCATTATCAACTGGTTTATGAATTAGATGAACAATATCCCAAAACATTTCTGCATCTTTTTGATTACCTAACAGTTCAACAAGTTCATCCTAAACAAAGTTAACATCTCTATTATTAATTCATAAAATATAAAAAAATATGTATCAAAGTTTTTCATTTGAATAATTATTTTCCAGGACAACCATAATTTGTAATAAGAAACTTAATCTTGAATATTGAATACACTAACAAAAGATTGTAAAATCAGAAAATTATTACTAATTTGCAAAAATAAAACTTAAAAATTTTGGTTGCAGATATAGGAAGATAAAAATAATAAAAAAATTAAAAAACTTGTATTTTTATTAGATATCATTTGTGACTTCAGCTTACCTTGGTCATTCTTATTAATTGATCAAGTGATCCGCCGCAATTCATAACTCTACCAATATTTTTGCTATTAATTCCAGGCAGTTTCATAAGAAAATCATAAATGCCCGTATTGTAATGGTCTGTTGCATATTCAATGTCAACAGTGTCGGCATCAGTGCCCAAAATTGCAGCTTGCTTAGAATCGGGTTGCTCTTTATCATGCTTTATAAAAATAAATTGTTGGTAATGAAATGAAAAATAAAATGTTGATAGCGGAGTGAATGTGTAGAACATTTCCAAATAATGCTATCAATTGCATGCATATTAGCAAAATATCATTAAATAATAAATCTAGTTAATATCATAATTTCAATTACACATATACCTTCAATTCTTCAAATAATTGAGCAGTGGCATATGGACCAGGAGACCATATTATCCTCAATTTTGGAAAATGTATTGTCAGCAACTGCAATTTCTGCATTGTGCCTATACCTGCCTTGTCATTAGAAACTAAATGATGTCCCTGAGGCAAAAAAGAACATTGTAAATTTAATTCAAGACAATAGTATAGTTTCAATTATGACTAACTTGTAAATTAAAAGGTCCATTCTGATCAAACTCGATGAGGAGCATAGGTTTACTATAATATCTACTCATTTGAATGCATTGATTATAGAGCCTTCCTGAATTGAGAGATCCAATCAAATCAGATACTGATTTTCTTTCCACACATATTTCTGGTGTTAGAATGTAATCACCTACCTACAACCAAAAATGAAAATGAAAGAACCTTGAATGAATGCGACTCGACACTTACATAATATTTTTTATTATTTTTTATAGAACAATATATTGTGTCACAATTGGAAATATGATTTCTAAATACATTCTTCAAAATACGATTGCTATAATTAATGATTAGAATAAGATAAAAAATTAAAAAGTTAAAAGTTTTACAAAAAAATAGTTTTCTTTTTTACCTTTTGCATTAAAACATAATTGATTTTCTTTTTATATGCTAATATAAAAAAAAATCTGGAAGTAAATGGAATTATTGTCATAATATGTAAATTTTTACCGTAATTGTAACTGGTTCTATATGAATGCCACGCATATGAATTAAACCAGGCAAATCAGATCTGAACTCACGCATGTCTACAATTATTTTTGGTTTGACTTCGGGCTTTTCTGATTCTTCTTGTCCACCTATGAATAATATTTATTTATAAATTTATAAATTGTGCACAAAACGATGTAATGAACTCTTATGACAATACATAATACTTTTGCAATGTACTAGTGGAAAGGGTTAAGTTAACATGAATTTACAAATATCATGATTTTATATAAGTAATTATAGATTTATCAACAGCAAATTAATCGATGTACATAATTCATATACAAATGTACTCGATAACATTAATAAAATTTTAAAGTTTTGTAGAATAAACGAAGCAAACATATTGTTATATAATAACATAATAAAATTAGATATTAGTAATTAGTTACATGGCAAATAAAAATACCTGCTTGTCGTGTGCTTTTTTGTGGACTTTTAGCCGTTATTTTTTTAAGTAAATAATTTCCTTCACTTTTTCCATCTTGATATTCTGGAACCACCATGTTCTGAAGAGTAATGAATCGTAGAAATGAATTTCATTTTCCTTTTAATTGTTTATTACAACATAAAATTAGAACTTACTCATAAAATCTATTGAAAATATTAGTCAATCAATTTAGGAAGATTTCAAAAAAGATGTACATACATATATAAAAATGCCCAATTACTCTTACTTGATTACTCGATTACCCTTTTAATCTTACAAACTAAAAAATATTATCACTTACTTTTTTCGTTTCTATTATAAAATCAAATGCCCTTTTTTCGCGACGTAAATTTGTTAAGTAAGATTGTTCTTCTACTGTACCATTATGAATCAAAAAAAATAATTTAGTTCTTTCTTGTGACGGTCTTCCCAATCTTGCTTCGTAAGTCTAAAATAGTATTTAATTTGATGTTTCATTAAAATGATTTTGTAATCTTTTTTTAAATGTAGTATTTGACATTGATTTGAATTACCTCAATCTGCCTAACTGCAGAAATATTATTTTCATACATAATAATATAATGTGGTTGCATTTGAAATAACAACTTGGTCAGATCCATATTTCCATCTATAGACCTGCATGAAAATATGCAAATCATAGGCTTATCTTCTGATATGCGTGTCATATCCATATTCTCCATCTAATATAAAAATAAAAAATTTAATATTAAATTTAAAAATATAAACATAGATTCAAGTATAAAGGGCAAGGTTATATCTAAATAAAAGCATTCACTCACTTCATCAAAATCTTCATATAACTGTGTACTATTCTTCAAAATATCAGACCCACACAAATCTTGCGTGTATGTGAGTAGATAGCAAGATTTATTTATATCTTCTTTAAAAGCATTATCCTCAGTTTCTAAGACTTTATTTAAATCATCTTCATTTTGTGCTTGCTCAATATTTTCATCTAGTTTTATATTTGCAGAATCTGAGATTTGAGATGATTATTGTTAACAAATAGTTCATTTATGTTATCAATTTAATTTACATTTAATCTGCGTTAAATTAATAAAACTATCTGTAGAAACAAGTACCTGCACAAAGATTTCTCAATAAAACGTTTCCTTTAGATGGTTTCCCATCAGACTTAGAAGATATTGTAGAAGTAGCTTTCGAACGTGTTCTAACATTATCTGTTTCATCTGTTGTGTTAGCTTGTGAATTTCCTGTAATTTTGAAGTATGATGAAACTGCTTTTACATCGAAATTTGAAAATTGCTTGGAAACTTTAGATAAATCTATTTCTTCCTTCAATGCATTTTCAAATAAATATTTTTCTGGGCCAAGTTTCAGAACATTTTGAAGTTGCGCACATGTACGTTGGCTATTGCACAAAATCAATATTTTTTGTGATGTATTACTGCTTTTTGATTGATGTTCACCTATATGGGCAGGAATTTCAACTCGAAGAATTTCTAATAGAAATTTCCATTTTGGACAAAATTCTGGATCAAATTCTGAAAGTAAAATTCAATTTATCAAAATTTACTTATTATTTTGTTTTTTGAAGTCGTCTTATTGTGAAAACTGGATAGTAACCTTGTTTATCATTAAAAACCCTTTGTTTTGTTAAATCAAACATGGTTTCAGCAGAATCTAATAAAATCCAACTCAAATTCTTTCTGGCATATTCCGCTGTTCGATATTGTCTCATTTTAGCATAGAATGAAACTGCATCGGAATACATCATATCCCTTAAATTATAATAATTATTGCACTTTTATTAGTAAAATGAATAATTATTATCACTATAATTTTTAAATCAATCTTACGATTTTAGATATGTAAAGATTTAGAAGAACTTAAACAATATTGATGCTTCAAAGTTATTGCATATTATTAACATGCAATAATTCAATTAATTAAAAAAGTTTTATGTAGTATGCAGTGTAATTATTTTGGTATCTTGATTTTTTCGAATTAATTTATTATAAAATTTGGATAATAAATTGATCAACAAGTTGACAAACAAATTAATTAATATTTGTTATTTTTTTACATACACCATAAGGCTTCTGAGAACTTGCAAATCCTGCAGTAACTGTTTTGTAGTAGTTTTAAGTTGATGCCATTTACATTCCAGTTGCGTTTGCAAAATCTTTTGAAACTGCTTTACTAAACAGTTTTCAACTGTTATTTCCTAAAAAACAAGTACATATAAAAAGTGAATGCGGAAAAATATTGAATTTATATTATGTGAAAAATGTATTAATGCTTACATGAAGTTCAATATTTTTTTCTTTATTCTTAAATTCCCTGCAAGTAAAATTCATAAGGTCTAAGAGACAGGTCTGTAACCTAACCATTTTGTCCGTCATCGGAATATGAAGTTCAATAACAATAGGTTCAAATTGTTTCAGGCAGTTAGTCACAGAAATATGAAATCTCGGCCATATTTGCAACTCTTTTACAAAAAGAGATTTCATAACGTTTTCTACATTTCCATACCCGAATGTGAATGATTCAACATTATTAGAGAAAGCTTTAATAAATCCAGTCTGGAAAATTAAATATTGTTTGAATTACTAATTATGGGTTGAGAAAAATATAATTAACTTAATATACTTTGCAATGGTATTGAAAAATAGGGATTTTTTGATAGATTAATAGCATTCATGTTTATTATTGAAATAAATCATTGTTGCAAAAAGCTTCCCAATAATTGATACAAATAATCTATTTTAATAACGTTTTGTATTTGTTTCATAGCATAGATCAACTTAGATTTTAAAAAACTAACTGTAGAATTAGCTTACTTTAAGTGATACACAAAAAATAAACACCTATATAAACTATAGTAATGTTACCTTATTGTTTTGCCTGTATAGTCTCAAAGCAAATGCTTCTTGGCATGACTCAATTACACTATGAGCATGTAAAACAATTATTCCTGTTATATATGATATTGGTACACGTTCCTTTAACAAATCAACTATTAAAATTCTAGTAGAAACAAAATGAATACCACCTTTTAAATAATTAGATTCCCTAAAATAGAGCATTTTATTTAAAATCATTTACATATTTAATCTTCATAATGTTAAAAAAATCAAAATGTGTTTTTTGTTGCTAATATGAAATATGAGTTGATTAAAAAAAATCCAATATGTTTCAGATAATACATTATGTGTTAAAACAAATTTAATACCATTCATAGTTTTATAATGCAATAACCCTCAAAATAATATACCTCTCTTGAGCGGTAGTTGCTGCTACATGGGTATGTTCACTATTGAGGAAACTGATAAAGTATTGTTCCTCAAAACTGGATGCATTAATAACAATAATAAGATTAGCTGGATCTAAATATACCTTCATTAAATTTTGTACAATAACATTACAACTCAACCCCCTAAAAATATAATAAACTGATATATTGTTGAATTCAAATTTATTAGAAAAAAAAACAGTCATGGGATATGAAAATGTATCTAGTATGAACTAGTATATAAATTTAAATAACAATAATTAATAATCAATCAATTCAATCATTTCCAATAAAATTTTATGTAATATGTAATATCCATTGATAAAAAAGATAATCTTAGTTTTACCATATAATTTATAAATTTATTTAAAATTAAACTAAATAATGAAGAAAATAGTATATACTTTAAATTTCTAAATTATAATGGCTTATTATCACATTTTTATAAAAATTCACTTAAATCACAATTTATCATTGTTCAAATTAATATCATAGTATCATTTTCAACCTTAATTTATATATAATTGTGTATTCGCCTTACCTAGCAGCAACAACAAGGCCATCTGCATGAATAACATCTAAAAATATTTCCTTTTCATAGTCAAGCATTCCCAAATTTGGGTATACCTTTGACTCCACTTCTGGTGGATCATCAGAATCTGAAGACTCCATAATAAATCCTTCACAGCTTAATTAAATTAATATTAAAAATGTCTCGAGAAAGGCATCTATCACAAAACTTGTGCTTAGTATAGACTGAACAATTATTTTCAGTATTGGTGAATTATTTCTGTTCCTACTATTTTCTATATCTAAATTTATCCTGTTTTCTTTAGCATATTCATGATCTTGTTGTAATAACTCAAAATTCACGTATTCTGCAAAATGTGAAAAAGAATAATATAAAAACAATCAAGAAATAAAATTGATATGTGAAACATTTGATAACATTGTAATTTCTATGATTTTTTTTAACATAGATATATTTTATATATACTTAAACAGTATTTAAAACCAAAAAAAAAAATTATTATTAATTAATGAAATTATAATTGATCTATATACAGAATAAATCATATACAGAATTTATCTTTGTAAATATACTGTTTAATAAATTAATTCAAGTTGAAAAATTACTTAAAAATTAGTAAATTAACAAATAAATTAACAAATAAATTAACAATAAAAAAATTGGTGTTAAAAAATAGGAAATTAATACATAAATTAATTATAAGTTAGCAGTACCATTAGTAATTAAAATACATACCACCATTTAATTTTAAATAATCTGATATTACATCAACTTCTGCAATGGGTTTGTAAATATCTAACTGACACAAATTCTTCTCAGAAGCAGAATAACCATAGACTCCAATGCTAATAGGCCGTTTAAAACTAAAACATTGTAATAAAATTATAATACAATTAATGTTCCCTACCCAAAAAAGGAAGATTATAACAATACTTTTAAGCATTAATTCTCTTCAATATATCTATGTAATGATAAATGAAAGACTGAAATTAATTCATGCATATCATATCTAGATTTCAAATATTTTCTATATGAAACAATATTCTTTTATTATCTCTGTACTCGAAGAGCATTTCTTTTTTAATTATGAAGAACTCGAATGAGTAATTTTTAAACTATACTCACGAGTGTGGTACTAAAACCTCATCAACTCCACAAGTTGCTGAATGCAAATCATATCTCAATGGATCTACCAACGGTTTCAGACCATTTTTTGATATATACAAATCACAATCTCCAGATCTATAGAAATGAGGTTAAATGATGTTGCAATAAGATTCTGAATTAAATATTTCACATTAAAATTAATTCCAACTTTAAACTAATGATGAACAAATAAAACTTGTGTCTAAAATGTTCTTTTTACAAAGAAGAAAAAGTTAGATAGCAATTTTTACAGTAAGACAATCTTATATAAAAAGTTAGGTTTTAATATTATGTCATTCAAAGGGATAAAAACACTCTTAATCAACTAACATACTACATTAGGCAAAAAAATTGTATTCGTAAGTGTAAATAAGTAGATCTTAAATTGAAACTTAATTTCTGGATAATTGGTGGTCAACTATAATTGACATCAAAATATAGAATTAACTTACATTGAAAACAATTTTATAAGAATCGTTCCTTGGTAGGACAAACTCCAATATGAGTAGTTTTTGCTGCCAATTTGATAAGTCACACTGTTCAACAGAGTAAAATGTTCATTTAAATTAACAGTTGAATCGAAGTTTATGTTTTTATATATTATCCCAAAGAATACGACCGCTATCTGCAATAAATTAGTGAATGACACAATTGTTATTTATAATAAACAATGACACTTGTATGGTATTTATGGGTACTTACTAATAATATAACATTACAACCGTCCATAACTCAATCATAACCAACAAATGAACGAATACATACCAATTCGTATTAATAATAAAAATAATAACATAAGACCATTGGTATAGTGTATAGTTTTAATGAATATGTTCAAAAATTATAAAGCAGTAACATTGTTCACATGTCAAAAATGACCCAGAATTGTCATAATACGAAAACGTCCCCAAAGATGGCACAGCGGTAAATTGGCAACACTGATGTGATCCGTTATAATCGTTTTTTTATAAATTGGCGACACTGATGTGATTCGATATAATCGTTTTTTTTATAAATTGGCAACACTGATGTGATCCGATGTAATCGTTTTTTTTCTGTTTCGGAAATAATGGAGAGAAAAACTTTGGGACAAGTTAGCAATAAGCGTAGATAAAAGAGGAGTATATGGCCCGAGTAGATCGCTACTCGGGCCATATTTCGTTGCCACGTTTTTCCGACCAAATCTGTCAAGTGATTCGCAACGTGGAGCGCTAATTCAGGGGGCCATAGGGGGCAATTAAAAATTTTGGTGATTTGAAAGTAATGTAGTATAATATTGGTAAAACATTTGACGAAAAAAATGCTTCTCAGATTTAACCAAGGTGTCCCGGTTTGGCCGGGACAGTCCTAATTTTTAACCTTGCTTTCCTTGTGCCGGAGATATGTTTTTTTTCTCGGGTTGACCTGACTTTTTTAAAAGATTAGCTTGAAATTTCGTCATTACTTTATAATAAAATTTACACACGTTGGCACATCCTATAGTCTTAAGTCTCAGCCAAACTACGGCACAAATGTCCTCGATATGGCAAATCTGCGCCTCAATTTGGCTCTACGCGGCATTCAATCAATGGACGTAAATTCTCCTGGCTTATTTATAAAATTCATGACGGATTTTCGCAGAAACAGTTGCTGATTGACGTAAACGTTTCTGAAACTGTCGAACTTCAATGACTAACAAACATTTATTCACGATATCATTAATTTTTACTCATTTACCTGTAATTAATTCCTAAACAAAATTTATGTATGAAAATTTCTACCTATTATGAAAATTATATACTTTATGATCTTTAATTTTGAATAAAATTTAAATTTGATTGTATATTATGTATTTGGTATGATATTTGCAAACATGTTAATAGCGACTTACAAAAAATTTTGAGGATTATAAGCAAATCTTAGATGGATTCTCGTTTTCTAAAATGAAAATTCAAATCATTTGAAGATATATTAGTTGCTTTTTGCCAATTATAATTTCTAAAGTACATTTTTTACTAATAATTTAATAAACATCATTGTTTACGTTCAAATCTTAGGTGAATTAATGTGTAAAATCTAGTTCATATGAGCACACTTCAATCTAAGATCAATTTGCTAACTCTTCCATAACAAATGAAGTTTTGACATATGAAACAAAATTCTAAATCATTTTTTCTATAAGTAAAAATATTTTTTTATACAGCTGTTAAATAATTTAGTAAAGTAAACCAAAATGCGACATGTTCCAAAATGCATAAGTTCCAAGAAATAATGTATGTATATGGAATTTTGGACTTATTGCGATATTTATTGAACTGAATTATATAACTTCATCTTCCAAACATATACTGTTGATTGTATCTTATTTTAATTTCTGGAACATCTCATCTGTTTTTCGGTAATACTAATGTATTCATTACATTTCCTTGTATATTATATTCTATGACAAACTCTAATGTAAGAAGAATTATTATATCAGCAAAACTGATGAATTTTATATTGATGCATCAATGTAGGATAAGGGCTGTTTTCACTTGGACATATTTCCAACATTATTTTCTTGACTTGACTGCAGCTTTAAATCAGGCTGTCCGAGGCGGGTATCGAACAGGGAACTTCTCACTGGAAGTCGATAGCACTAACCGCTATATTGATACGGAATATAAAATTTAGCTTAGCCCAACGAAATGTTTTGATTGTAAAAAAAATATTTATTATAAAAAATATCAACAATAAGCAGTGTATCATATTACCTATGAATATAAACTGTAATTTACTATTATTTTTATTCAATCATTTTTATTACAATATATCAATAATATTTTATTCCTAATGAGAAACACACGAATTTATTCTGGCAATCTTCCAGGAAAAATAGGTCTAACTTTGATCTGGCAAACAACACTATCATTCTCACTGATTTGAGAGGGATCTGAGGCACGAGTGCGAGGTGTATGGTTAAAATTATATCCAAATGCGCAGTTAATGCCGTCTTTCTTCCCTCTGAAACATTTTAACTCCTCTCATCCAGGAATCGGAATCAGATGCGCGTGCAGGATTAACGGACGTCGTAGAGAAACTAAATTAAGAACTCGGGAATGATATTTATAAATATCTTTATTTTTTATTTGAATGTACATGGGTGACCCAGTACAAGTTGCATATGGAATTGAGATTTTATTAAATATAAATCCACAATCATTCAAACCGATATTTGATTATAAAATTAGCATCGGCATATTTTTAAAATGTATTTGTTTATATCATTACATTTAGGTATATCAATTATATTAACTATGAATTATAATGATTACAGTATTTACAAATTACTAGATAAATATTTTACAATTTTACTAACTGCTGATATATGCAATTTTAAACTTCCTATAGGGTAAGTTATAGTAATGAGCCGAAAATCGAAAATGAAAATGTTTGCATTTCTTCACATTTTGAAGGTTTCTGAACATTTTGGCGTACCTCAGAACTAAATGGATGTGTGTGTGTATTTTGTATGTCCGCATTTTTTCGTCGACTTTTTCGGGCGCACGGATCAACCGATTTGAATGGTTCCAAAAACATTCGATTCCTATTGATAGGGAGATGTCTTGATAGGGAGATGGCTTTGCCAGAGGCAGGTCCGACCGTTACGGAGAAACGAAGCAAAGAGTGCAGAAAATAGAAATCGAGTTTTTGAGAGAACAGAGCATCCGATTCGAATGATTCAAGTAACATTCAATGAATAATGATGAAGTGAAGTGGTGATTAATTTTTGGCAAAAGCAGATCCAGTCGCTTTGGAGTTGCCGAGCTAAAGTGCACAAAATGGCAATTTTCGATTTAAAAAACTTTCTGCTTGTGTTAACGACACGATTGTTTTTGGAAAAGAACTTTTTTTTTTAATTTCCAAAAAAATTTTTTTTTGAATATCGTAAATAATTCGGATTTTAATTTTAATTCTGGCTAAAGTTCTAAAGCTTTGCAATTCAGTTTATATAATTCTTATAAATATATTAGGCAATGTCCTTCATTTTAAATTTGATTGTTTAAGTTTTATTTATTTACTTTTATGTAAACATATATCAGTTACAGTATTTATAATATTCTATTTGAAAACATTTAGTATTTCTTGAATTTTTCATTACGTTATGGAAAGTTCCAGCAATTTACTTTAAATACTTTAGAGAGAATATATAACATATATTTATTAAGATTTTTATTTATTATATATTTTTTATTTATTGTTATAATATATATATATATATATATATATATATATATATATTCTAGAACTATTCTGCCACTTTCCATAGTAACCTCTATTTGTATGATTCACAAAGCACAGAGCTTTTTAAGCTCATTCAGAATTCTTTGTCCCTAAATAATTTTTTTCAAAATTTCAATTTACAATTAATGTTGTTATGGTTATCGACGCTTTGGGAGATAATTTTTGCTTTCTACAAATTCTAACAAACTTGTTCAACAGCGAGAATAAATTTTCAATATAACTATTTAAGAAAATATCTATGTATAACTTTTTAAAGTCTTCATATAAAATTTCGAAACTAAACCTTAGACTCCTATATTGTTAGACAAAAAGACATAACTGACCAACATAAAGATTTTAATCATTTTCGTCGGTATTTTGGAAAATACATATAATAAAGTGCGATTCGCACAGCAATAAAATAATACCATCTTAAATCGCGCAAAACAAAAAAAAGTGTAATTTTGATAAACGATCAAATTTCAGTTAAGTGCCCTTAAATAATATAAATGAATAAATAATAAAAATAACTATAAAATTATAATAAATATATCACATCTATGCGTATACGAATTTTGACCAGATTGGTTTAAGTACTCATTAAGATTTGTCCTCATCCCAGGAATACTTATAACATCAACTGGCGGTATTCAAGTACACGTGATATTTATTTGTGCATAGTATTTTTAGCTCTATACACAGTGGGAAAACCAGATGATTTTATACCAAATAGCAGGTTTCACGTTTTATATTTTCTTATACTGACTAAGTAAAAACATAAAATTTGTCTAATAAAAATATAAATTTGTTATTCATATATAATCAATGTTCATTTATTATAATTATTAGAATTTTTGCACAAATTATCACGGCTGTAAGAAATGCCATTCATAGCTATTAAAGAAGTAATGTTTATTTATAAAAGAAACCAATTCAACGAATTAAAATACTCCATATATGTGTAAGTTCATGTAAAATATGCCAAAATAGAAAATTATATTGATGCAATATAGATTCAAATCGCCGAAATAAAAAATTAATTTATACATTTATATCAAATCCCCTTAAGTTCAGGTTTTGTTTGCAAAAATGTTGATACATTTGTTTGCATCTCTCAGCTAATTCTTAAGAAATGACTTGGCTGATCATCTAACAAAACTAATCAACGCTCGTCCTTAACAAATTTCTTGAAAAGGCTATTGAATTTTTGAAAGTTTACTTTAGGTAAAATGTATGAAAGAAATAAGAAAATGGTATGCGAACATAATAATAGTGCGTTAAATAGAGTAAACAATAATTTGATCCCAAAACATATGTCAAATTACGTGTATTGCCATAGTTTTCCATAATTTTGAAAAAATGTATAAACATTAACATAAATGA